AGTGCTGGGATTAAAGGTGTGCGCCACCAACACCCGGCTCTCAGTATACTTTTAAAAGTGGAATAAACTATATATAATTTTGAATGTGCTTATGTGTGTGTGCGTGTGTGTGTGCGTGTGTGTGTGTATGCATATGATGGTCAAGGGTGGGTACTGGGTATCTTCCTCTGTTGCTCTGGTTTCTTGTTGAACTTGGAGCTCATTGGCTGTCCTGGACTGGCTGTCCGTTGAGCTCCAGGGTTCTGTCATTCTCCACCTCTCCCACCCCAACTGTGCTAGGGTTACAGGTGTTTGGGTACTGGAGATCCAAACCCAGACCCTCACTTTAGGACTGAGCCATCTTCCCTGGCCCTAAGTGTAACTTTTCAGAGTGCATATATGTTAGTTTGAATAGGAATGGCCCCCATGGGTTCATGTGTTTGAATGGTTGGCCCACAGGGAGTGGCACTATTAGGAGGTGTGACCTTGTTGCAGGAAGTGTGTTACTGTGGAGGCGGGCTTTGAGGTTTCATATGCTCAAGCTATTCCCAGTGTGGAACACAGTCTCTCCCTCCTGCCTATGGATCAAGATGTAGGACTTTCAGCTCCTTCTCCAGCATGTTGTCTGTCTCCATGCTGTCATGATTCCTGCCATAAAGATAGTGTACTGAACCTCTGAAACTGTAAGCTAGCCCTGATTAAATGTTTCCCTTTATAAGAGTTTCTCTGGTAATGGTGTCTCTTTACAGTTATAGAAAATCCAACAAACACAACATGTTTCACCTTAATTTTCCCTTTATAGTACAGAAATAGTTGTTTTGTTTGACATTATAGACAATTTTTATAATCACTGATGTAGTGGGTGAACACTGTAGACCAACAAAGTCTGCCCCAAAGCAGAGACTTTGTTGCTACAGTTTTCGATTCTTTCCTTTCTGGGAAAATAACAAGAGGCAGATGGAGCATTTGTATACTTCTGTCTGTTTCTGCCCGTTGGGAACAGAAACTATGGAACCGTACTGAGCCTTAGGGATGAGATGCCCTATGCCTATGAATTCCTTAAGAAATTACTATTTTCAAATGTTACTTCTAATGTCACAATAATATATATTTCAATATATATCTTATGATTATGGATATGACATACATGTATATACCAATAACATCTTAGGGAGATTTAGTTAAGTTGGATATCTGCAGTCTGTCACCCAAATTTAATTTCCTTCCCTGCTATTTTTCAGTAAGTAATTAGAAAAGAAACCCCGTCTGAGTTGACCGAGTCTGCTATTGTAGGCTGTTTGCTGTCAACTCAGAGTTCTCAATTAGCTCCAGTGTTGTTATAATTACTGGACGTGTTTTCAAACAACTCCCAGTTAATAACTGTTGGGATGAAGAGTCATTTTCTCACTGTAGATGAGACCGTGCACGCTCATGCTTGCTGTGATGTTTTGACAATGATTCATTAACCAATAATAAGCCCCAATTGGACCCATTAGGCATCATTGCCTTTCCTGGGATTACCTTTTATTTTGTTCCTCAATACTGTCTTTTCTTGACTTGGTTTCTGGATAAGTCCCAAGAGACTCCTTACTACACAAAACAATACCAAGAAGACAGCTGTCATTAAATTCAGACACTTGTACGAAGAAAAGGTTCCATGTAAGAGGATGCTCTTGTTGAAACTTAAGAGAGAAAAAGCAGTCAAAAGGAGGCTGAACTAAGAAGGCATGGCTTCCTCCCTCCCTCCTTCAACTTCTTCCTTCCTTGCTTCTGTTCTTTCATTCTTGTGTCAAAATTCAAGGATTTCCTAGGTTGTATTTTGATTTTATTTTTGTTAGTATGTGTGTTAATGTCACAGTGTGCATGTGGTCAGAGGATAGCATTCCTCTGCTTCCACCATGGGATTCAGGGATTGAACCCAGGCAGCCAGGCTTGTGTGGCACACACCTTTACCTGCTAAGCCTCTTGCCAGCCCTCCATGTGTTCTAATAGAAGATTTTGATGCCATGTTGATATGATCGGTCCACATGGCTGGCTTCCAATAGGCAGTTTTTTTTTTCTTTTTTGAGTTTCTGAAACAAATACTATAAAATTAATCACTTTATTAGGTTTATTAAATCAATATCATACAACTTGAAGAAGCTTGTATCAAAGCATCTGTCCTTCACTGTACTGACTCCTCTGGGTCTGGACTGTGGTGGCTTAGTGACATTCCACTGAACCTTAACATTGTGAGATGGCCTGAGGCCACAGGAAGGTCTACTGGATTCTTTTCTTTGACTTCAACCCCAAACTTTCAGCAAGATTTTATTTCTTTGGCTGAAGTCTTTTAGATGCCATTTGGCACTGAGTAAGGAATTTTGATGCCCTAGGGTAGTGATCCTCAATCTTTCTAATGCTGTGACTTGTGTTGTGGTATCCCCCAACAAAAAACTATTTTTGTTGCTACTTCATAACTATAGTTTTGATAGGGGGCTCTGCAAAGTCCACCAAATCTTCCTGTGCTGGGCCTTGGCCCTTAATTTTGTTACTTTTATGAATCATAATGTAAATATCTGAGATGCAACCCCCGTGGAAAAAAAGTCTTGACCCACAGGTTGAGAAACACTGTCCCAGGGTCTTACATGCTGGATGGTAGAGCCTGGCCTTGAGGGATCCTATGAAATAGTGATTGTGGTCTGCCAACTCATTTCACTTGCTATAGCTCAGCATTGGCTCTCAACTGTGGAGTGGTGGGAGGATTTGAAACTTGTAACAACATCCTCGGTCCACAAGTAAACACATTTCTCTATGGCAGCTCTGCTCTCAGCTTTAAGAGGAAGTTTCTTGCAGGCAGCTTTTGTTCATCTCATGACCCATGTAGCACACATACAACACAAAAGTGAATTTCTAAAGTGAATCCTTAGACCACATGAGTAGATTTGCCCTTGATGGTTACAATGACATTGGAGGGATACAATGTCCAGGAAGGAGGTACATGTTAGTCCTTTGGTTAATGTGTTGTTTCTGTTTCGAGACAGACTTTTTAGATCAGGCTAGCCTCCAACTTGAAACACACCCACCCTCCCTGCCTCAACTTCCCAAGTGCTGTGATTACAAACATGTGAACACTCCTGGCTCTTTAAGATCCAGACTCTCGATAATGCTTCAAAGGAGGGGGAAAAAAAGGAGTATGAATAGTAACATTCATAGTAGACTCTGAAATGCATGCATTTGATAATATTTGAAGATAGCCACAATGGTGACAAGATGCCCAGAGAATTCATAGTCGTGGAATTGACAGCTTTGACCATAAAGTAATCTTAGGTGGATTTCCCTGGACTTGTCGGGTCTGTGACAATGTCTTAGTGTTCTGTTAGAATAAAATCAGGACCTTTCCCCCCCTACCTCAATACTCATATCTAGATGTGTCTTTATTTTCCACTTTATATTAGACTTTTTTTGAAACTTGAAAGCTGAAGTATTACTTTGGACATGTTACCTCAGTGACTAGGTCAGCCGAATTCATGTTAGTAAAAACATGTTAGTCTGTACACTCTGTCTCAGGGGGTAGAGAAACACTTCGTTATGGGGAAGAAGGGCAGAGGTAGTTTAACAAACCAGAAGATCCAATATAAACTAATGGCTTTATTGTCTAGCTCTCTATCAGCCCAAGTTCTAACAGACTTGAAAATAAATAGTATATACAGAGGGTTGAACATGTCCCAGTGTCTGGGCCCCACACTAACTTCCAAACAAAGCAGACAAGAGCAGGAGGCAGGTGACAGTGCCAGGTTACCACTCAGAGTAGATGGGATTGCTTCGTTGTTAGTCTTCTCTGTGTCCCTTTCCTAGCAGTTTTGATCCCCACCAAATGCTGTCTAGACGATGTGAAGGACTTTGAAAGCAGCCACAGCCTGCTTTTCTCGCTCATGCCTGCTCTGCAGGACCTCCAGCAAGGAGATTTCCGGTAAGCTTCCTTCTTTTTCACGGTTCCTCGTGTTCTTCGTGTTCTCATTTTTCTTTGCTGCGTGATCAGTCAAACTTGGTGGTTTGGGTTTGGGGATGGTCTTAGCATATTCCAAAGCCTAAGGGCATGAAAAGGAAAATGTTACTTAAAGTGGGAAGTTAGTCTTAGGAGATGTTTATGATAGAGACGGAGATTGCTGAAATATGAGCAGAAATGGCGATTGAATGGAAAAATGCAGGTGACACATTATAATGCATAATTTCAACAAAATAAATTAGTCACTAAATGGCATGTTGTGGAGCAAAAAGGAGCTGGAGAGGGAGTCAGACAGCCCTTTTGCTATTCAGATGTTTTTACCATGGCAGATTATTTATTTATTCCAGATACAGTCTTCTGCCTGCATATGTGCTTGGACACCAGCAGAGGGCACAAGATCTCACTATAGATGGTTGTGAGCCACCATGTGGTTGCTGGGAATTGAACTCAGGACCTCTGGAAGAACAGTTAGTGCTCTTAACCTCTGAGTCATCTCTCCAGACCACAGCAGATTCTTTTAAGTGTTTGCAAACAGATTTCTCATGTGTTTATTCTGCCAACTCTCTGAGAGTCTTGTTAAAACCAAACTTCCAATAGAATCAATAAGCCTTTCTACCCAGAGAGAACTTGTAGCTGAAGGACTTGGAGACTGAAGACATGACTGTAGTTGATGAAAACTCAACTTTGTTCATTAAATCCCATTGTTCTTTGAAGGAAAAGTTGGATATTTAAAAGTGTATCTATAGAAAATAGATGCTGAAGATGTAGGGTTTTAAAAAATTGATGCCAAGTTTTAAAGGTTAAGTTATGATTAAAAATGGGACCAGTTGGGCTAGGGATGCTGCTCAGTGACAGAATCTTTGCCTGCATGTACATGCCTCTTGATTCCGTAGGGTGGGGGAAGAGATGGAGAGGGAGAGAGAGAGAGAGAGAGAGAGAGAGAGTCGAACGTGATTGATACTGGCTCTGCATTTTTAAGCTTTTGCTGCTAGACTTATGTGTATGAGTACTTTGCTTGAGTACATGCTTGTGCACCGTGTACATGCCTGGTGCCCTCAGATGTCAGAAGAAGGTCCTCTGGGACTGGAGTTACAGTTGTGAGCCACCACATAGGTGTTGGGCACTGAACCTGGTCTTCTGTAAAAACAGCCGAGTGCTGTTAACCACTGAGCCAGCTTTGTATTTTAATAAGAATTTATTGACAGCTGAAATGGGAATTGATAGTATTTTCAAGTATCAGAAAGGGGGAAAAAGCACCCAAACATAGAATGTTCATCTGAATGTATGTAAGAGAAAGGCCTGGGAATTCTCAATAGATTTGTCACGGTGAACATCTTCATGAAAAATGGATTGGAGGAAGAAGGAAATGATGCGATGGGGAAAGTGAAGTTGTCAAGGTCTGAGGAAGAATTAATATGATGGTTGGTGAGAGAGAACATGTAGTGCACGTTCCTAAAGGCACCGAAGGATCGCATATTCCTCCTGCAAGGAGTCCCCATGGCTACACAGGACTGAATGGGTCAGGTGAGGCAGGGAGTTGCAGTGTGTCTCCACACTACACATTTCATTCCCTTCCCGACTCTGTGTTAGATGGCAGCTGAGAGGACAGACGGTCTATATTTTTTTTTAAAGAATTTTTTTCACCAGAAGAAATCATATGCTCTCTCTGGAAAAGCATAGAGAAATGAACTTAAAAGAAACAATGAGGGGTTTATTTATTTATTTTGCACGAACAACAGGAGGACACTAATTTCCTTGAAAGTTACTTAATTATAAAGAACGAAACCAATCGTTAATCCAGACTGCTAGCTCCTGATGAGAAATCATTTTGTTATTTTTACAGGCGACAAAACTAAGACAACGTACTGACCTAACAGTAGTTTGTGTGTGTGTGTGTGTGTGTGTGAATTTGTGGATAGCATATAAGTGCAGGAATAGCTACTTCTAAATATCCCCTATGTTCCAAACACATTCTGATCCCCAGACAGGGTTTCTCCATATAACAGCCCTGTCTGTCCTGGAATTTGCTTTCTAGACCAGGCTGGCCTCGAACTCACAGAAATCTACCTGCCTCTGCCTCCCTAGGGCTGGGATTAAAGGTATGTGCCACCACGCCTGGCTCCAAACACATCTTTTGAGGTTAGGTGGTGACCAAAGTTTTCTTTCAATTTTGACTGAAGCGTACATGCCCTGATGCAAGCTTCTTACCTTCTGTCGAGAAATCACTGGTTTGCTTTCAGTTTTTGCTGTCTCTGGTTTGGACGGAATGGACAGTGTCTTCATGTTGTATTCATGGACTTGCCTTGCATATTCTTTTTGTTGCATTAATTTTTGAATCTGCTCAGAGAAATGGAGTAGAGTGAGCTAATCTCTTCTAATTCTCTCAGTGACAACTGGTTTCACCGGGGTGGGCAGCTCAGGGGGGCGACTTGCACAGGGTGGCAGCAGTGAACTGGTTAATGTTTCCCTGGAGAATCCGCCACGAGAGAGCAGCGGCACTCCCAGGGTTCTCTTAACAGAGACTAAATCCTATTCAGCCTCTTCTTTGTTGCATTTACCCAATTTATTTTCATTTTTGCTTCCAACTTTGAACTATACTCTTTTTATGCCTGAGTGCAACTGCAGTTCAAACACATTACATGAAGATCTCCTTTCACTAGAGGAAAGGGAATAAAGTGGATGTACTTCTTAAGGGTTGGGGAACTCATATCCTAAGTGTGTCTTCTCTGCTGCCACTTCAAAGTTATCAAGACAACTCTATCAGGGAGACCAACAACCGCACAGCACACGCGTCCCTTTCCACATTCATGCACCCCACTCTTCTGAGGGAGGCTTTCAGATCTAACGGAAAGGCGGTGCATAAAATAACACAGGCTAAGAGTGTTGTTTATTTTGCAGCAGGAGTATCTGGGTCTCTATTGTGCCGGCATGACTGTTTCTGAGGGGTTACTACTCAGTGTCAGGTGTTTGCACTTATTTTGATGCTGGGGTGCATCTTTACCCCATATTGCTAAGGACAGGTAGAGGACAGTGAGTGTGAAAATGCCACATGCCACTTACGTTGTCTCTCATGGACTCAGAGTCAGGTCCCAGGCCTCCAAGCTTCACGTCTCTTTTCTGATAGCCTTTCAGCTTGGAACTCTGAAAATACAACCACAGAAGCGGTTTCTTTTTAAGGATCACTGTCCCCTTCAAGAAGTCAAGGGGGAATGGGAAAGAAGGACAATGAAGACCAGAAGCCCTGGTGGAGGGTAGGAGAATGAGTGCATTTCTTGGCAATGGTGCCATTTTCATGGTAGTTACCGATCATAATCTATTTGGTATGTGTAGTTGGTTAGTCAATGTATTTTGACTTTTTCACTCCTACAATAAAAGAAATCAAAATTTTGAAATAATAAGCAATTTCAAGGTAATAATTTGCTCTCTGGTTAACGTTTTTAACTGAAGCATATATAATGCACCCGCTTTCCCCCGCCCCCCAAGAAGCAGTTACCATGATGTCCAGCTGAGCAGTTTGCAAAACCAAATGACTCCTCAGAAATGGCAGTCAAAATGCACTGTTTCAGAAAGTCCCTGTCCAGTGGGGTGAATGCTGCCCGCCTTTCAAGACACCCAGAAGGCAAGTGATGAAACTGCAACTTGAACATTTTTACAGTTCATTGTTGGAATAGTAGATAATTTTAAGGGTGAAAACTAACCATCATTCATTGATAATACTCAAAACCTTGACAAGACCCACTGAGAAATTCATTTTGTTGTTAGTGTGGTTTTGGAAAATTTGAAGTGCACCTAGAATTTGACAGTGTAATGATGGGGAATGTACTGTGTATGTTTATCTTATTGATTGTTAAATAAAATACTGTTTGGCCAATGAGACAGCAAGTTAGATGGGACTAGGAGTCAAAGAGGATTCTGGGAAAGTAGTTGAGAAGTGGTGATCCAGGCAGGAAATGACATAACAAGGAGACTCATATTTAAGCAAAGGAGAAACAGGAAGGGCCCTCTTTTCCCCTCCGCTCCTGCTCCAGCGGCACAATGTGAGCCACCAGGAAGGAGGGACGCCAATAAGGCGTCTGATAAGATAAGTCTTATAAAATATATAGGTTTATGATAGTTAAGACTAAACTAACAGATGAGAATCCTAGTCAAGCAGCGTTGTACCTAATACAAGTTTATGTGTATTTATTTGGGCCCTAACTCAGGCGGGCGGCTGGTGTAGAGCTCACACATGGCGGTGGGGCTCAGGCGGCTTTTAGCAGAAAGATTTATCATAACAGTGTAACACTAGCATCACACACTTAAGTAGACAGAGGAGACTATGATCTGAGGCGAGATTAAGATATACCCCGCCGGGCATTGGTGGCACACGCCTTTAATCCCAGCACTCAGGAGGCAGAGGCAGGGGGATTTTTGTGATTTTGAGAACAGTCTTGTCTACAAGAGCTAGTTCCAGGACAGCCTCCAAAGCCACAGAGAAACCCTGTGTTGGAAAAAAAAAAAAGATATACCCCAAATTCCAAATTTCAGCTTTCCACATGAAAACTGAAGCTGGGACTGGCTACTTGCCCTTGTGGGGAAACCAAAGCCTCTCCTCTTTCCTCAATGAATTTGGTTCCATTTTCTAGGAAGGATAAGGGCAGTATCATCAAAGGAATGGTTTAGATGACTTGTCTTAGGGTTTCTATTGTCATGATAAAACACCATGGCCAAAAACAACTTGGTGAGGAAAGGGTTGATTTCATCTTATAATTCTCGGGTCACACTGCATCACTGAGGGAAGTCATGGCAGGAACTGAAGCAGAAGTCATGGAGGAACACTACTTAGTGATTCGCTTTTCATGTCTTGCTCAGTTGGTTTTCTTCTATGTCCCAGGTAAGCTGGGTCATCCCCTAGACCATCTATCCATCAAGAAAATGCCCTATGACTTGCCTACAGGCAATCCAATGAGGTATTTTTTCAGTGTTCCTCTTTCCAGGATTGTGTCAGGTTGTCAAAAACTAACCAGAACAACGGCAATAACTATTTTAGGGCAGATTTAAGTTTGTGCTTGGAGTGGAAAAAATGAGTGTGCCACCTGTGTGGGATTACCTAACTGTATATCACTGTCAATTATGGTGTCTTGCACCAGGTGTGGTGGTACATGCCTTTAATGCCAGCACTCAGGCAGGTGGGGGTGAGGCCTGAGCAGACAGTGAGTTTGAAGCCAGCCTGCTCTACTGAGTGAGTTCTAGGACAGGCAGGGTCACACAGAGTAAACTTGTCTTGAAAAACAAAATTAATTAGTTAATTAAAAAATGATTGTGGCTTAGCTTTTACCATTGACACTCAGACTCCAAATATAACACAAAACTGAATGGTTAAAAGCAAACAAATACATATATATATAATAAGACACAACTAATTAGATAATAAATAATCAATTGTCTTATTTGAGGAACAGTGAATTATAATACTCTGTGTAGAGAGAGCTCATACAAATACATATGCTGATGTCTGTAAAGTGGTGACACATTTTAGACAATGACAGAGTGCTTTTTATCTGTAAGATCATCAAAGATTAAAACTAAATGATTGCAGGCCATGCTGATAGCAAGATGGCAAGTTGTATTCCTTTGAAATCCTATACTGCTGTAAACTGATACCACCATTTAGACAGAAATTCAACATTTGTTTGTATGTGTAGATAAAAATTCACAAGGATACAACCCAAACTGTTAAGAGGTGAGAGTAGGATTTCCAAGAGCTTTCAGAATAATTTTGTGTATGTGTGCATATGTATTTTAAAGTTACTGTGAATTATGTTAAGTCCTAAGACAGGCCATATGCTATTTAAAATTAATTATTTTAGATTTATTTGTTTGTGTACAGTTGTTTTGCTTACATGTAGGTCTGTGCAGCCTGTAACCTGTGCACATTGCCAGTATGCTTTTGTCATCTCTGGATTATTTATACCTGGAGTGATGTACTACTCAGAGAGTCTTCTGGTGTCACAATGACTTGGAAAAGTCTGTTGCATTCAGTACAGGTGCACTGTTTCTAGAACCCATGGGTATGGGGATGGACTTTCTCCACCACCCTCCCCACCTCAGAGCTCTGGCCGGTAAGTAGCAGTTGTGTCTTTGGAGGCTTTTATTCAGGTTGGCGTGGCAACTGCCCTCTCATTTTTTTATTTTCTATCCCCACCCCCAAAGTGGATGGAATTCCTGCAGCAGGAACAGCACTCCTTCAGGCGGGGGAGAAGGGGAGAGTCACACAATGCTTGGTTCTGATGTTTTGAGCTGTAGAAACCCCAGTGTTAGCAACTGCCTACCTCTGGGTTAATTGTATCAAAGAAGAATGAACCCATGGTTCTGAAATTGCTGGTCAGTCTGTCACTGCTGAGGAAGGCAATATTCCTAACACACCAGGGCTTCAGTGTCACTATTCAGAAGGAGCAAAATAAAGTGCCTCGCAGGTGCAACACTTCTGCACTTCTAGGATTAAGGGCTCTGTAAACAGAACTGGCCCCATTATGATGTTAAACATTTATGCTCAAAACTCCCTCACTGCATCGAAGTCTGAAAAACAAGAGAAGGTAAGATTCTATTTGAAGGAAGCTTTTGGTCTGAAATCATTAAAAATAACATTAAAATAAACATTGCTCATCGAAGGACATTCCAAAATAATAAATCTTTAGGAAAACAATCATTACCAAGAAGAAAGCACGACATCTGCTCCTGTCTGCTTCTTGTCCATGATATATTTTTCATATCTTTTTAGGGGTGGGTGCTGGGTCTGGCTATGTAACCCCAGCTGTCCATGAACTTACAGTTCTTCAGCCTGGTGTTGGGATTGCAGGCACATGCTGCTTGTGTGGCTATGTTTGGCTTGTTCATACTCTTGTTATTTTTAATACTAAGATTTTTTATTTAAAAGTATTTATTTGTGTGTGTGGTGTATGTATGCTTGTGGGCACACATCATTAGGCCTGTGCAGCAAGCTCCTTTAGCCACTGAGCCACCTTGCTGGCCCTTCTTCATACATTTATAAAAGTATTCATATACTACAGACTATTTTAATTTTTTTTTTACTAACCATTTTGGTATTTCACTCTACTTATCTGACATCAAGTGGACTGTAAAAATGTGAATTTTAGACAAACATTTTATCATTTAATGTCATTAAATAATTTAGGCATTTCTCCAAATGTTGTCCATTGAAGATACACTGAGGTAAACACTGTATGTTACTATTTTTTTTTTTTTTATGGTGATAAATTGGTTGAAGTATGACTATTGAGATCTAACAAACATTTAGGGCCACCAATTAGTATTTCTGCTACCACTAAGATGACTCTTTTTACACTCTTTTTAGTGATTTACAATCACTAAATTATCAACTATTTGCCAAAGTAAAAAAAAAAAATCACAAAAAAGTTAAAAAAAAGAAACCAAATAAATAAACCACCACTCATATCCAAGCCATAAATCCAATTTGCCTGAAGACATGAGAAAGAAATGATCAGTGGGCAGAAACCTCATCCTTAGCCCTGGTGCAGCTTAACTTTTAATCATGCTGCCAATTCACAAAGGACATGCCAGGAAGCATGGATAATTGTGTGTTGATCTTCAGCCACTCTTCTTGCTAGCAACTTCAGTAAGCATCAAGGTTATCATAAAGGGAAAAAAAAAAAAAAAGAACAGAGCCAAGGGTCTATCTAGCATTCCATACAGACATGGAGGGAGAGCATGTGGCCCAAATGAGCCATCCCCATGGCTGCTGATCCCTTTATAGGATGAGCTGCCTAGTGCACAACGACATTTCCCAGGGGACGAGGTGGCTCCTAGGGGAGTGAGTTTGTTCCGGGTGACTGGTGGTAAGAATCCTGGATCTGCTTAAGTTTGGCGCAAGTAATTAGGAAGAGCCCAGCACTGTAATTCTGTTTGATCTCTCTCCATCTGAAGTCTTAACAGCATTGTTGAGATGTAATTCTCAAGCCACAAAATTTACTCATTTAAAGCTGTTCAATTCAGTGGTTTTTAGGATAGTTGCCAAATTGTCTAAGCATTGCCCAATCCAATTGTACAACATTTTCATCACTCTAAAAACAAAAGAAAACAAAACTCCAATACCCGTTAATCCTCTCTGTCTTTGTCCAGTCCCCATACCTCTCGTCCTAGGCAGCTAAGCTACTTAATGCTTCTTCAATAGTCTTTTACAGTCAAACAGTCCTCAGACTTTATTTTCATTTCTCTTGTTTTTTTTTTTTTAAGGCTAAAAAGTAGTACAAAGCCAAAACAATGATGATGGTGATAAGGATGGTGATGATGACAATGACCATTATAAGATATCAGCACTGATAGTCCTATTAAGTCTCTGAATACAGAGATCAAACATTGGAATACAGAAGCATGGTCTAGACAAATACCTACCTGTCTTTGAGTAAAGCTCACATAAACTCAGGCTGTGTGGTTTACACCTGTCATCCTAGCACATGGTAGGATGAGGCAGCAAGACCACCAAAAACCAAAACAAACAAAAAAATCCCCCACATACCCTCTGATTTCTACTGACCTTGGCCCCTCAAACACGAGACTTTCCTGGGGGCAAGGTTTCTACTACCATTCCTTATTCTCTCTAGCAAGGTGTGTGACTGTCACTGTATGCTCCAAAGAGTATGCCTGAATTGAAGTGACATTGACTGATCTGTGAGGACTTGTTTCAATTCTGAAATGTTATACCCTGCTGGAGGTAAGGAAACTACATTGCAGATTTAGTCTCCAGAAAATTCCTCAGATGTGTAAGACTAAGAAAGTTACTGAAAAACAAGATAAAAACAATGCCTTGGATGCCTGGGAGCAGCGAGCAAAGGATATGTGCTCTGTGGTCACTAAACTTAATCCAAATAAACCTCTTTTTAGGGGCAGCCAAGCAGCAAGCCCCAGATTGTCTGTGACAACTAACATCAGTTAATTATACAAGCTCAACCTTCATCTGCCAGGGAACTCTTTACTGAGCCCTTACTCAGGGAAGTGGTGGCTGGAGACAGCAGAAGTATATTTTGATGGCTTGGCATCCCTTGTACCGTGTTAATTTCTTAGTCACAAACCTGGATTTAATGGTGTTGACAATGCCTTGTATTCTGAAATCACTCTCCACCGCACTGCCAAAAGAGGAAGGGACCCCAGGCCTATTATCTTTACAAATCCTCAAAATTTTTACCGAGATTCAGGGCGATTCCCTTGGAAACCAAGAGCTTTGACTTGGCCAGCAAATAGGCGTGACATGGATAATGACTCTCCCTGTCTGGTTCGGGGACTACCTGCTGTCCTATACAAATCACTCAGTTCTAAGTCACTTCAGCTTCTGGATGGGCTTAAAGACAAAGGGTGTTCCGGCGTGTTTGACGGATGTAGACTGAAGGTACTGGGGTGAGAAAATGGATGTGTATGGATCACAGCCATCCTTGCAGAAGCTGGGGAGCGGTGGGCAGGAGCAGGAAGCTGTCCCTACTCTTCCCACCTTAAATTGGTGGTGCTGGGCACTGTCACCAGGGCCTTCGCCCCTACCCTTTCTCAACACAGCATGAATTCCATTTGTGAAAAGGAAGGAATGGGAAGGAACTGATTATAATCTTTGCTAGGGAATAAGGTGAGGTTAGTACATTATTTCATTTAATTTAAGAGCGATTCTGATTGCTCCCGTGAAGAATCAGGGACTGGGGTAAGCCAGTAACTCCTCAATTGAGAAAAGTGCCTCCATAAGATGGGTCTGTAGGCAAGACTGTAGGGCATTTCCTTAATTAGTGATTGATGTAGGAGGGCTTAGCATGCCTCATTGTGGGCCAGTCCTAAGCTGGTGGTTCTTGGTTCCCAGAGAAAGCAAGCTGAGCAAGCCACAGAGGAGCAAGGCAGTGAACAGCACTCCTCCAGAAATCCCAGAGACACCAGGAGGTGGGGCTGGACCAAGGACTTTGGAATGACTGAATCTGCCAACTTCCTCCCAACCCAGTCCAAAAGCTGTTGTTTTTCTACTACAGGGAAGTGCTCTTCTGAGAGACTGTGTTTGTTTGACTCTTAGGCCCTGGTGATCTATAAGCTCTGGAATGAGCAGGCTATCTCCATGTTGACAGGAAGTGTTGGTTGCAAAGGTTGATAGTATGTCCCCATGGAAATACTACATATGATGCTTGCTTCCCAATCTGGTCTGTAAGTTGAAAGTGATAGGTACTACTTTAGAATCCAACTGCCATGTAATCACATTTCTCTAGGAAAAGAAGTGACCTGTGATTCCTGAAACTGGGCCTCCTTACTTACAGTGGAGGTGGAGTCTTCCAGCTACAAGCTAATATGAGCACTTTCCATGCTTCAGAACCATGAGCTAAATAAATTTCCTTATAATATAACTTGACTCAGGTATCTTATTACTAAATTCCTGAGAATTTAAAAAGTTGTGTTTGAAGTAAGACATGAAGACATGGAATTGCACAAAAATGCTCACCATGGTGACCCAAAGTCCAGATGAAGAACTCAGTAAAGACCAGATGCCATTGTGGAGAGCAGCTTAGTCCACTGGCTGGCCTGGGGACTTTGCTGTAGAAGCTGAGGTGAGATGTGCACCAAGAGGAATCTTCTGGTGGATGGCCAAAGAACTCTGGCTACATGGCTTTCACTCGCTTAGCTCTACACTCCCTTTTCAGATAGGAAGGTGTGAGACTCAGCTTAGGAGGGGAACTGGGATGAGAAAAAGTAGAGATTGAATGGAGGGTAAAGCAGAATTATTATTGCCTTCTGCAGTGTAGACGCTTCCTTGAGATGACCTGAAAAGAAAGTGGAGTAGGCATCCTTGACAAGAGAAACTTCTGGAAAGACAGGGTGGAGGAAATCAATGGGAGGGGGGAAGCAAAGACTTGAGGGGAGGGTTCCTGGTTCCTGGACCAGCTTGCTGTGTGAGAGGCTAAATAATGACCAGCCCTATTCCATCTGTGTCATCAAAATGAAAAAATGACTTGACTAAACAGCCATGCTTTCATCACCTTTATGCTGCTGCGCTTCCTGTGTTTTCTCCCTCTTTCAAGCTGAAGCAGGTAGCCTTCTGAATTACTATGGGTCATCTTCATTTGGTGTCTGTGGCTTCTCGCTGAATCGAGTTGGGATTCACTTTCTACCCTGGGCAGGATAGGCGGGAGTGTGGTGTTGGACAAGGAGCCATCCCTGGGCTGCACTTCCGCCAGCTGCACCAGGGCTTCCTGGTGCTGCTCCATGATTTGGGCAAGCCAGGAGTCTGGAGAGGCACTAACGCGTTCCATGTCTAAGGAAGAGTGGAATTTCCTTTGGAGAAAACACAAGAGTTTTAAATAAAACTTGACTCCATAATACAACTTTCTATGTAGAAGTCTTTAGGAATCATTAATCTTTTCATGAAGACATCGATTTTGTACCTTCAATTCCTCCTCGTTTTCCTTGGGACACTCTAACTCCCTTTCAAGAATATTTATCTATTTATTTGTTTATGTCTCTCTGTGTGTGTACATATGTGTACAGGTGCCCTTGGAGTTCAGAAGAAGGTGTCACATGCTGACACCTGTAATGACAGGCATCTTATGTGAGTGTGGGGAACCAAACTACAGTCCTCTGTAATAGTATCGATTCTTTCCGGCTGAGCCATCCCTCCGGTCCCCAGCAGGAAAGGCATGTTAAGGACTTGCAGTTAGTGCATGAAGCACAGGATAACAAGCAAGCAAATAAACAACAACAAAACCCAAAACACCATTTTGAAACCCAAAGACTTTCCGATTACACAATAGCTAGAAATGATGGATTAAATTAAAGAAGTGCTCTTTAAATACATAGTTGAATGTGCCAGAGGATCTGGGAATCTCTAGGGATGGAAACAAAAAGGAATGAAAACCAAGGCAGGTTCTGGATTAGCTAAAGGTGCAGCTTTCTTTGTGGGACTTTTGGGTAAAGGCTTTGGGGTTTAAGAGTTGATGCTGGTGGGCTGAGAATGTGGCTTATTTGCTGGAGTGCATCCCTGGCACAAACAAGCCAGCAAGGAAATCTTGGGTTTTTCTTCTCCGGGTTGGGAGGCAACTGTCTTTTTTGAAGCTCCACACCTTTGAGATTTGCATTTCTGAAGAAAGAAAAAAAATACTCTTGTACCTGTCAAGTATCAGGAACAGAAATTATTTGTACCACCCAAGAAAAAGACACAGAACTGGCAGGAGGAGTCTTCCATCAAGTGGCCCACACACTGATCATACCACAAAAATCCAATGTCAACAGGCCTGTCACTCAGCTCCCCAAATGATTTTCAGACTGTCTAATAAGCAAGACCAGCTCTGATGCAGACACAGAACACACACACACACACACACACACACACAGAGAGAGAGAGAGAGAGAGAGAGAGAGAATAAAACCCCACCAGCACCAAACAAAATATTCAGAGGAAAGAGAAACTAAGGAAATTTAACAGTTTAAAATTGTCAAAAAGGCCCTTACTTGCCATGTGTCTTGAGAATGTAGGATGTCCAGAAGGAAGATGCTGCTTCCCCAGTAAGAGCAGCGTCAGAAGACAGCCATAGAAGCAAAGATATAGCCTGGAAAGCATGACAGCAGTGGAAGGATGGAAGTCAGTGCCTGTAAGGGGCCGTGGGCCCAAAACTATGCGGCTTAAAGCCCACCTTTGTAAGACTTTTAATGACCTGTAAGTTTGCGGCTTAAAGCCAGCTCTGAGAGCCTCCTGTAACCTGTAATTAGATACGGTTTGGCCAAGCGGAACTGCTAACTGCTTCTGTTCTGAGAAAGGGTCTGGAGCTTTTCTGTTCGCTGTTCCAAGAAAGACCACTAGATGTTCCGGCTGACAAGAAGAATGTTCCAGTCCCAGCAAATACCTGATGTTCCTTCTATTATTCCCCCCAATTCTATTGTTGCAGGGCTATTTAAGCCCACTCTAAGCCCCAGTAAATTGAGACCTTGACATTGCACAGACGGACTCTTGTCCTTTCTTGCGCCGCTTGGTCTCCCTCCTCTCTCGCCCTCATGACCCCTTTAGGTGACAACCCCCTCGAGACCCGCGAATAACCTGGCCTGCTGGACGGGTCAAGTGCCAACACAGCACCACCTAAGAACAATCCCAGAAGGATGCATCTGAGCAAGGCACTAGAAAGTGAGAAAGAAGATGGAGAGGATGGGAAGAGATGGACCATGAGATCCTTCTGTGTTTTTCCCAGAGGGGAAGGAGGCAAGTCTCCAGGTTCAAAGGAGCTGGAACAACGTATAAAAACTGTGATCTTAGAACTTCCTGAAGGAAGATGAATAGCCATGTGCAACAGGCCTGAAATCAGGTGGCTTCGTATTGTGCAAAAGTCACGTTGGAAGCAAGAAGAATAAATGGTTTCTAAGTTAGAGTTCTGCAATACTCTGCCAGCCTTCGTTCAGACGGGCAGGACAAAGACAGTGTTGGTGGCACAAGTCTCAGAATGTTCAGCTTCCAGGCAGTGGATGGAGCTCTCTAGTAGGATGAGAGTGGAAAGTGTAAAAGAGGAGGAGGCATGGAGCAAAGCAAAGGCAAGCTGCACGAGGAATGGAGCTAAGGGACACCCTCGTGGTAGAATGGGCCCTGCCATGGAGAAAGCATGTGCAGGACACCAACACCTGCCCTCTGCCACCACACTGCATTTCTGTTTTTTAAAAAAGGTTCTATTTATTTATTATGTATACAATATTCTGCTTCCATGTATATCTGCATACCAGAAGAGGGCACCAGATCTCATAACGGATGGTTGTGAACCACCATGTGGTTGCTGGGAATTGAACTCAGGACCTCTGGAAGAGCAGTCAGTGCTCTTAACCTCTGAGCTATCTCTCCAGCCCCCACACTACATTTCTTGTTCAAAGAAAAATACCAGAGGATGCGTTCAACAGAATAAGGAAAGTGAGATCCTAAGAAGGGAATTCCAATTAGGAGAAAGACCAAGGGTGTTCTCAGGACAGCTGTGCAGCAGGTCTCTAGCACCATCAAAACAATTGTTGAGGAATGTCAGCAAGGTGTGGTGGAACATGCCTGCAATGCTAGCACTTGGGAGGCTGAGCCAGGAGGATTGCCATTGGCACAGCCTGGGCAACATACTAACTATTGGGCCCTAGCCAGGGCTACATAGTAAAACTCTGTCCCCCTAATTGCCCCAAAGAAGAAAAAGTAATAGCAGAAAGAAAATAAGGACGTGACAACATGACTACAGAGAAAGTAGATCGCAAATAACGTGAAGAAATGAAATGAGAACTTTAATGGTAGTACATCTTAACACAGGGGAAATGTTACTTATTTCTAGAAAACGTAATTCACCAGACTGAAGGTGAAACAGGAATACTGTAAAGACCAAGTCATTATAATAACGGGTAGGGGCTTCAAATATGCTCACAGACAACAATAATAAAAACAAGGCTAGACAAAACCAATAGTTTCATAGGAAAATTCCATTGACCTTTTATGTAACGTGTAATTCCTACAAACTCTCCCAGGGGATATGAAAGAGTAGAAGAAAGCCCAGTCTTCAAGTTACTCATAAAGCTGATGCTCTCCCAGCATGCTCAGGCCTCCCCTCCTCATATAGCCGGGCTGACCAGGAACTCAAAATGTAAGTGAATTCCTGATCTTGACAAGACTTTGAACTCCTGATTTTTCCTCTTCTATCTCCCAGTGCTAGGACTGCAGACCTGCACCGCCAAGCCTGGTTTGATAGCTTATTGATAACACAACTAGACAAGGCCAGTGGGAGATAGGAAAGATACCCTTCGTGCATATGGATATCATTAAATCCTAAACAACAACAACAACAAAAAAACATTGAGCAATCTATTAAAGATCCAGTCTGATGGGCTGCATGGTAGGGCATGAGGTAGAGTCTCTGCCTAAAATGGGCAAGGCTCTGGGTTCCTTCACCAGCACCTCGAAAGTCCAATACGACAAGGTCAGTTAATTTTAGAGACAAAAGGTCAGCATCACAACAGGAAGCCTATGAATATATTTCATTATAGGATTGGTGAAACATATTTGAAGCTCATGACGGGCGTTGGTGGCACATGCCTTTAACCCCAATACTTGGGAGGCAGAGGCCAGCCTGGTCTACAGTCTGTCTTCCAGGACAGACTCCAAAACAATACAGAGAAACTCTGTCTCAAAAAAAAAAAAAAAAAAAAAACCAAAACCAAAACCAAATAAAACAACAACAAAACAAACAAACAAAAAACAAAAAATTACAAGCTCACTTATTAACAAAAGTTCTTTGTAAAGGAAAATAGTAACAGGAAATTTCTTTATCTGTCTACTGAAAACTAAAAATTATTTTTATTATTGTGTATGTACATGAGGTGGTATGTGTGCACAAGTGCACATATGTGTGCATGTTGTGAGAACATGTTTGTGTAAAGGATGACATACACACACGTGTTATAGTGCATGTGTGGAGGTCAGAGGATAATGTTTAGAGATGGAACTCTAGACATTAGGTGCTCATGACATATTTGATTGGAGTCAGGTTGTCTCTATGCAGCCTAGGCTGCCCTTGAACTCAGTATCGTTCTCCCTCGGCCTCTTGTGTGGTGAGATTACAGGGGTACACAAAACACACCTAGCTTAAATATTAGTTGTGATCACAAAAGGGCTGGAAGTCATTCCCATAAAGCCAGAGAAAAGACAACAAAGGTGCTTCCAGCCATCACTGTCACTCCAGCAAGCTGACTCAGACCCCGATACAGCACCTGTCTCCCTACTGATTTATATGTAAAGTTGCCGCCCCATCGTGTTGCAAACAAGCCCATGGAAAGTGCCTGGTATATCACACTACACATGTCTTCTGTGCACTTTAGGATCAAAGTCATCACATGTTAGGTGTCCAGAACATGATTTGTCAAGGAGCATCAGGGGTGGTGTCTTGAAGTGACTTAAAACAAAAACAAAAACAAAAACAAAAACCCAGTCTTTTCTTGCTTATAGAAGAAATGCATCTACATTGTAGGGAACTTGAACAATTCTAACTCTAAAGAAAGAATGAAAAATGACCTTGATTTCTTTTGTCAGAGATAGCTGCTGTATCTTTTCAATTTAAGATTTATTTATTTATTTATTTATTTATGACAGGGCCTTACTATGTAGCTTTTGCTGGCCTTGAACCTGCTATGTAGACCAGACTGGACTTGAACTTCTAGAGATGTGCCTGTCTCTGCCTCCTGAGTGCTGGAATTAAAGTATGTGCCACCACACCCAGCACTTTTTATGTGTTTGGATGTTTTACTTACATGTATGTCTGTGCACCACATGTATTCTTGGTGCCTTCAGAGACCAGAAGATGACATCTGATCATCTGGAACTGAAGTTACAGATTGTTGTGAATCACCGTGTAAGTTTTGGGACTTGAATCTGGGTCCTCTGGAAGAGCAGCCAGTATTCTTAACCACTGAGCCAGAGATAACTGCTACTCATTATCAGGTGGACTTCCTTTCCACATGCACATTGAGACAGTAGAGGCCATAGTCCTAGGGTATAACCCTGTACCTCATTACCTTCTCTTTTTGTTTTTTTTTAGAGACAGAGTTTCTTTGTGTAATCTTGGCTATCCTGGAATTTGCTCGTTCAGGCTGGCCTTGAACTCACAGAGATCTGCCTGCCTCTGTCTCCCAGTGCTGGGATTAAACCTGTGCACCACCACTGCATGGCTCATTACCTTCTCTTCAGGGGAACATTTCCTCTGAAGGCATACCTTTTAGTGGTCACGGTAACTAAATACTATGTGATATTTCCCTACCATTGGATTTTTAGCTCATTTCTGTGGTGGTATTTCTGTGCCTACACATCTTTCTAGGTTAGGGCACTCCGGAATGAAGACAACTTTTTCTCTGGTCATTACTCAAATCCTTCTAAGTTTGTTAAATTCTTTTGGCTGTGTCCCTGTGCCCTTCCCTTGTTCCAACTTCTAGTTTCACTACCATGGAAACAGTAGAGGAGACCAGGAAGAGAAGGATGACATCAGAAGTAAGGCAGGAACTGGAGTCAGGAGAGGTGTTAGCTGTCCTTTTCTTCTAGCCTGACCCACTCAGGAGTTTCCCTGTCCCCTTCTCCTTCTCCTTTCTTCATCCACAAGCCTCTTATTTCTCCTCTGAACAAACCACTCAGATAGAAAAGTTCCAGGCAGGTGTGATGGCTCTGTGGTAAAGGCGCTTATGCAAGCCTAATGACCCTTAGTTTGAACCTCTGATCCAAACATTGTCCTCCACAGGTGTTCTGTCACGTGTGTGTGTGTGTGTGTGTGTGTGTGTGTGTGTAATATACTGTGTGAATATATGTCACCATGAAGCTGACTGGCCAACAGCTGGACAGGATAAGGTTAGGTAGAAGAGCCAAGCTGAGAATCCTGGGAAGAAGAAGAAGGGCAGAATCAGGAATTATGAGCAGGTGCAGGGAGAAGCAAGATGGGCATGCTGTACTGAGAAAAGGTACAGAGCCATGTGGCAAAGTGTAGATAAGAACTATGGATTAATTTAAATGTAAGAATTAGCTAGTAACAAGCCTGCTCTATTGGTTGAGCATTTGTAATTTATATTAAGCCTCTGTGTGGTTACATAGGAGCTGCTTTGGGGGCAGAAATTTCCACCTACAAGTGTGTGCATTCCTATGCACACGTAGACAACACTATGTATACACACACACACACACACATACACACACACACACATGAAAACACATGCACATTAATAAAACTAAAAATTTTTGAATTTAAAAATAGAGAGTTCTCACCATAGCATCTCTATGTTCTTGTATTTTGTCTCTGCCTGCAGCTGTTTGGATGGCTTCTTGACCTTTGTTGACCTGTGTATATTCTTGTCATAATCAGACTGAGGGCCTTTGTGTCCCTGGGGCACGTGTCTGTGAGAAAATTCTTTAAAGTCTTGTAGTTCCATATCAGAGAGCACGTGGTTGGGCTGCTGCTTATGCAAAAATCTTTTCTCTTCTTCATGTCTGTGTCCTCTTTTTTTGTTAGTGTTCGGTCCCAAGACAGAGTTTTTATACAATACTCTGTCAAAACCCTGCTTGGGAGGAACAAATGTGTCGGAAGTGACTTGGGGATTGTGGGTGAGTGTTCTGGAGTCCTGTAAGTCAGTGTTAGAAGAGTTCATATATGTGGCCAGTCCGTGCTTTGCTGAGGCATCCACAGGCTGCTTTTGGTTTTGTGGTTGTTGGAGAGGGTAATTCTGATTTTTTTGATTGAGAACAAGCTCTTTCTGGCATTTCTTCTCTTTCTGAACCCTGGTCTTGCCTGTTCTTCTGGAAGGTTGTTGCCCATTGGCTGCATCAAAAGACTGACCTCTTGGGACATTGCCTGCTTTTGTATCTTCATATTGAGACAAATGTTCTTGGTAATTCTAAAAAAGATATTATAGTTAAGGTAAAATTAAAATAAGTACTCTTCATAAATTTTCATATAATTCTTTTTTTTTTTTCAAATGGGAGTTGAAACTTCTAGGAAAGTGGCCATGGGTTGACAAGGAGAAAGTTCAGAGAGTTCTATCCTAATTGCAGGTGATTAGAGGGTGAGCGGCCAAGGAAATGTTAGATGGTGAGCCTGGGAGGAGCTTGAGAGCTTAAAACAGCCTCTGTATTAGGTCTCTGACTGGCAAGCCATATAGGAAGGTGTCACCAAATGAGGGAGAGAAGTTTTACCTCCAAAGAGATGCTCAGAGAAAGAATTTACATCTATGCCCACAGGTGCAGGCTTATGTTAACTAAGTATTTCCAAAACCCCACCCAGGAGACACCAGAGGTTTTTCTGTGCCAAGCAAGTCCAAGCTCAATCCCACATACTGATCAGACTGTCAGCTCTTTGTACTCACACAGGTCAGCAGCTAGAAATGACCTCTTAGCCAGATGAAACAAATTAGATCTTATTCAGAGGGTTATGAGAGAGCCGGAGCTGTGATAGGGCGGCCGTGAAACCACAAGGGCTGTTTTGCTTTCTGTTGCTTAATATAGCCTGCACTTAGGCAATCAAACATCTGGGGAAAGGGATTTCAATCTCAAAACCATCTCCGTGCTTTTCTAAGTCCAGTAACAACAAAATGTATTCCCGGGACAATAGATACACTGTGTAACTATATTGTGCTGTGCAGCCATTTAAGAGTATTTCCCAAGGAATGGAGCACTCATTACTTTGTGAAAAATGAGCAGGGTTAAGAGGCTTTTGGAAAGAATGATTAACTGCTTATTGAAACAGTAAGATGACCATGTGCATCACTGTGTTATATAACTGCAATGTCTTTGTCCCTTTCAGGACACACATGTAAAAAAAGAACCCTTCATGACCCATATCTATGCAATGTTAATTGAAAAATGCAACCATTAGGCAGCACATTGGAGGCCAGTGAAAATACTCAAACTGAGCAAAGCATGCCTTTCCTTGTTCAGATTTGTTTTGGTTGTTCGGGAAGCAAGACTGCATGAATCATGATGATACAGTTTTAGGTTTCATTTCAGTTCCTTGATACAACCTGAAAGGCTGACAATATGAGCCTCTGCATGTTCCCAAATAATAATCATGGTCCGGTTTCTGACAAAACCCCATTAGGATATTAAATTTACAAGATTGTTAAATGTACAATAGTGATATACAGTATCACTTGTAGTAGCAGACTGGTTAAATAAAGGATGACTGTATTTGAAAAGTAGCACATTTCCTTTGGAATTTGAGCCATTTCAGGATTGACCAGGCTCTCATTGGCTCTTATAAATTTTTAGTTTTCACCTGTAGTTCTCTCTCACCTTAAAAAAGCTGACAAAAATAACAAACAAGCAAACAGCTTTCCTTGTACATCCAGGTAAGAAAAGTGTTTTCTTCCACACGGTGTACCAAGTTGCATGGGGAAACATGAGCAAAAAGGCTCTCCCATTATATGGTCCCAAATGCATTCTTCTTTGTAGTTGCTCCCCCAAATCATTAAAGTTTTTATGACATTTATTTATTTGTGTGCATGTGCACACATGTCCATGTGGCTGCACACATGCTACAGTGCATGTGTGGCATCAGAGGACAACTGGCAGGTGTCAGTTCTCACCTTTCACCATGTGGGTCCCAGGGATAGAACTCATATTGTCAGGCCTGGTGGCAAGCACCTTTGCTTGCTGAGCCATCTTGCTGGGCCAGAAACTGCTGTCTTATGACCTTACAGGTGTGTTTCTAAAACACAATGGCTCTTTTCGTGCTGTCAACATGTTAGTTAGGGTCAAACAAGTCTTTCTTTGCTATGATCTATAAACTCTAACTCATACTGATCAACCATGACATTCTTTTTTACATTCGTTCAGCCTTTCGATCTCTGGGGAAAATAAAGGACTAACTAGGGACTTTCTGCTGTCACTTGACTTATATTTCCCCAGAAGGAATTCCTTTTCTGGGCAAGTACGTCTGAAGTTCTTGACTCTAGCTATGTTGTTACCTTTGTTGCCGACGATTCAGCTCATAGCAGCCCTCATCATAGGGTGCTTTGTCAACAAAGGCCACAGACTCATCATTTTACCAAACTTGAATTGTCTCGAGAGTTAAATCCTCCACTGACATAGACATAAGTGCCCGGAGTTGGCATTTCATTCTTCAGAAAGGAAGACGTTTATGGGCTTGATAGGATTCCTCTCACCTCCTAAGTAGCCTACTCGAGATCTGCTGCTGGCTGGAGATTTATTACCCTACAATTGAGGCATCAGGTGTCACTCTTTAGGTGGTGAGACCTGGAGTTCCCTGAAGTTAATATACAAAGCCATTCTCAGGCTATTTAATCTCCATCAGCGCAGAAATCCGAGATTTCATTCTGTTCTCACTAGGATTCTTTTGTTACCCACGCTGGCAATTGGTATGCCCTCCATGCACTCAGACTAACGGCTTAATGGCAGTAGGTTTTCATGTCACATGTGGAGTGTCAGTGCTTGGAAATCGATGCCTAAAGTTGAGATGGGAGTGTTATAGTGAGACTCATCCTTAGTTGTCAGTGTCCACTCATCATCCCCACTCTGTGAAAGGCACTATCTGGATGCTTCTGTCTTGTGGCTCAGGTGTCATAAGGAAAAAGTGGAATGCATACCCTTACCCCAACCAGTGTGCTCATCTCCTCAGACATAGAGGCCACTGTTGCTCTTAGCTGCCCTGATTGGGCCCTGGGGTCCTGGGACTTCTGCCTAGGCTCCAAGATCACCTCTGACCCAGAGAACTTCCTGTTTTATTATTCTACTTAGCTTCTGAGTTTGTTAAAAAATAAAATGCTAGTTTAGGTGCCAAATTGTATCTAATATTATTAAGAAACATCTGGCAGGAATTATTAGCAAAGTCCTTCATTGTCAGCAAGGAAGAACTCAGGTCAGATAAACAGCAGCATTACAGATGTTGACATGACCAAATGCACAGCTCTGCAGAAAGATGGGAAAAGGGGCTGATCACAGGGACTTGACCATGATTAGTGAAGGGCCCCATGTGGTTTTTCATGCTGTCATCATTGGTGGCTTTGTTTTTGGTCTGAGAAGACCTCATTTTACCCTTAGGACACCGGGAAGGGTCTTGTGGCCAGGGATGTACTTCTGCACACTGTCCGACATGGCATTTGAGAAACCGATGCCTTCGGTTTGGGCACACTAATGAAATGGGACTTAATGAAACCGGTGAAGACCCACAGGGGAGCACAGAATGCTGAAGGACAATACTGTCTGAGGAAAGAACAACAGGAGAAGGCTTAAGAGGGAAATGAAGGTTGTAAATAAGCATAAGAATCTGACATAAAAATCATGATGATGCCAAGGCTCTCTGTCAGGTCGAGTCGTGGATCCTGTCCGCCACCCTCCACTGCAAGGAGACACTTCAGGCCCCATCTCTTCTGCTTTTTGGATGTGGCCTCCCTGATATCAGCTTTCAGGAAGCTCTGGGTGAGTGACTATTTATTTATTGACTCATTTCCGTTCTACCAGCAGCCTAGACACTTGGTGAGGACAGGAGAGGGTTTGGGATGTCTGTCTTCTCTAACATCTCTGATGCTTGGATACACTTTAATGTTTTTAACTTTACATTTGCTGCATGTGTTACTTTAACTGGTGATTTCAAAGGGCTCATCCCTCCTTTCCTTGCCCTTGAAACAAAGTCTCACTGTGTAGCACTGGCTGACCTGGAACTTGCTATGTAGATCAGGTTGACCTCACACTAACTGAGATCCATCTCTGCCTAGGAGGCTGAGTACTGGAACACTGGAATTAAAGGCATGCTACCATGCTCATCCTGTGTTAAACAGGGGTGGAGTCAGATCCAGGAATGACTCCATGTATTTCTATGCACTGACTAAGGAAAAGATCAGATCCCAGTGGTTTTTCTATTTCTTCTAGAAATAGTGGGACAATTAACCCCACCTCCAAATCACTTATGAGTGCCCATGGACAAGAAGGATGTCATGCTAAGTTACCATTCTAGAAACAAGGCTTGGTGAGGCTCTGAAGGGTTCCATCAGCTTTTGGGACAGTGTCACTTGAGTCTATTGGGTAGCTACATTATTTTTCCCCTTGCACATCTCTCATCCCTTCCTTCTGTGAGAGTCTTTTGTTTCTGTATGCTTGGAGTGTGAAATGACGGTGTTCTGGGACAGGGGACCTTTTAAAAAGCAGGTAGGGTTGTTGGCAGAGCAAGCATGCAAGCTATGACACTCTTTGGTTGAAGGCGGTCTTCAGCATAGGCTGGTAGATAAGTATTCTGGACATAAAATCAACCGTTAAGTGACAAGAACTCAGTGCCAAACATTACTTATATCTAGCAGTATCACTTGAAGCCCACTTAACACACAATCTAGCAGGTGACCTTGAGCTGTTTTGCTCTCTGATGCCATTTGTCCTCAGGGTCCATGGAAGTGTTTTCGACTTCTTTGTCATTCTGGATAGCCATCTTGCCAGTACCTCTGATGGGGTTGGAGACCTAAGAGGGTAAAGCACATAGTACAGTAAGTGGCATATACTGCATCCTAAGTGTGTTCATTTCAGTCCTACAGTTGTGGGGTTCAAGTCTGTGTACAGCTTTAGAGAAAGGAACTGGAAAGACAGGATTTATGTTTGGTTTATTTCAAGGGTCCATTGTTTCAGTTCTCAGGCACTTACGTCAGTCAACTTTTCATCACTGTGATAAGAAAAAAAATCAAGCTAAATCGTTTCAAAGGAGGAAGCATTTATTTTGATGCATGGCTACAAAAGGTCAGCCCATGGTTACTTAGCCCTGTTGTTTGGGGCCTGAGGTGAAGTAGAATGGACAGCATGGAACAAAGCCAGGAAGCAGGAGACATGGAGGAAGGGGCTGGTATCTCACTGTACTCTTCAAGGACACAACCATATTCCTCCAACAACTCCCTAGCTGCTAAAATTTCTACCATCTCCTAATAGCACTATGAGGTGAGGACCAAGTTTTCAACACCTGAGGTTTTGGGAAAATACAAGATAAAAATCATTAGAAGGACCTGGATTGCTCCCAAGGAAGATGGAAATAAAGTCTTCTCTCATTCAGGTGAGAAGCTAGAATAGGTGTTTCGAAGCAGAACACTCCTCCACTGCTGGTGGGAGTGCCAACTCGTGCAGCCACTTTGGAAATCAGTATGGAAATTCCTCAGGAAAATGGGAATCAGTCTTCCACAAGATCCAGCAATTCCACTTATAGGCATATACCCAAAAGATGCACATTCATACAACAAGGACATCTGTTCAATTATGTTCATAGCAGCATTATTTGTAATAGCCAGAACCTGGAAGCAACCTAGATGTCCCTCAACTGAAGAACGGATAAAGAAAATGTGGTACATTTACACAATGGAGTACTACTCAGCGGAAAAAAACAATGGAATCTTGAATTTCGCAGGCAAATGGATGGAACTAGAAGAAACCATCCTAAGTGAGGTAACCAAGTCACAAAAAAGGCAAACATGGTATGTACTCACTCATATATGGATTTTAGACATAGAGCAAAGGATTACCAGCCTACAATCCACATTGCCACAGAAGCTAGGAAACAAGGAGGACCCTAAGAGGGACATACATGGTCCCCTGGAGAAGGGGAAAGGGACAAGATCTCCTGAGCAAATTGGGAGCATGGGGGGAGGGGAGAGGGAGCTAGGAGAAAGAGAAGGGGAGGAGGGAAGAGGAGGTCATGAGGGAGCAGGAAGGTTGAGTCGGGAAGAATAGAGGAGAGCAATATAAGAGATACCAAAATAAAGAGGGAGCCATTATAGGTTTAAAGAGAAATCTGGCACTAGGGAAATGTCCAGAGATCTACAAGGATGACACCAACTAACAATCTAAGCAATAGTGCAGAGGCTACCTTAAATGCCCTTCCCCAATAATGAGATTGATGGCTACCTTATATGCCATCCCAGAGCCTTCATCCAGTAGCTGATGGAAGTAGAAGCAGACACTCACAGCTAAACTCTGAACTGAACTCCTGGAATTCAGTTACAGAGAGGGAGGAGTGATGAGCAAAGGGGTCAAGACCAGGCTGGAGAGACCCACAGCAACAGCTGACCTGAACAAGGAGGGGCTCAGGGGCCCCAGACTGATAGCTGGGAAACCAGCATAGGACTGACCCAGGCCCCCTGAATGTGGGTGTCAGTTAGGAGGCCTGGGAAATCTATGAGGCCTCTGGCAATAGATCAGCATTTATCCCTAGTGTACCAATGGACTTTGGGAGCCTATTCCACATGGAGGGATACTCTCTCAGCCTAGACAGATGGGGGAGGGCCTAGGCCCTGCTCCAAATGATATGACAGACGTTGACTATCCCCCATGGAAGGCCTCACCTTCCATGGGAAGCAGAGAGGGGATAGGATAGGGGGCAGGGGAGGAGGGGAGGAAGGGGAGGAGGGGAGGAAGAGGGAACTGGGATTGACATGTAAAACAAGCTTGTTTCTAATTTAAATAAAAAACATAAAAAAAACCATATAGGTGTTTCGAGACCCAAGGACCCCTTGTTTAAATGTCCCATGCCTGGTCAGGAGACTTGACTTTAGGATAGTCATTAGAACAGGACACTGAAAGTATCAATTGATCCCATCAACAGAAATATGATGATACCATACCCTTTATTTACAATGAGAAATTTGTCCAGATAAACCCATCATAAATTTTAACAAATGCATTTAGTACACTGTACTGACTAGCTTTGCCACTTCCACACAAGCTAGGATCTTTTGGAAAGAGGGAACCTTGATTAACAAAATTGCACCCACCAGATGGGCCTGTGGGGCATTTTCCTGATTGACCATTGATGTAGGAGGGCCCATCTCACTGTAGGCAGTGTCACTGCTGGGCTGATGGTCCTGGGTTGTATAAGAAAGCAAACTGAGCAAGCCAGTAAGCAGGATTATGCTGTGGCCTCTGCTTCAGTTCCTGCCTCCAGGTTCCTGCCTTGAGCTCCTGCCCTGACTTTCCTCAGTGATGAGTGTGACCTCAGAGTTGTGAGACGAAACAAACCCTTTCCTCCCCGTGTTTCTTTTGGTCATGGCACTTTACCATAGTAACATGCTACAGCCACGACATTCTGCCTCACCATCTGCCCAGGATCAGTGGAAACAAATTAAGTACAGAACAAACCTCTGAAACCATAAGCCAAAACAGATCTTCCTTTTTTGATCTGCTTTCTCAAGTATTTTGATCACAGTTATGCAAAAATAACAGTCCTCCATTGACTATTTGTTTTATATCAAGAAACGTGTCTCTGAGCTATACAGAGTGGTAGCTGTTAGAATGTCCCGCAGGAAGCAGACTTAAAGTTCTACCATTCCAGAGAACCTGGAAAAAAGGCATTTCGAGCTTCAGGACATCCATGCTGACTCTAATTGATGCTCATCCAGTCTGCTGCATCTCCTGACTGGCTGTGTCTGCTTGTCAGTATTCAAAGGTCTTCCATGAGTTAGGGAGGAGAAAAAGGAATCTGTTTCGTGTATGATGAGCAGAGTGTTCATCACTGAGCAGCCTCCATGTCAGAAATCTCTCACAGAAGAAGAAATATCAAGCTGTCTAACCCTCTGGTTCCTGAAGTAACACTAATTAGGTGAACCCCCTTTTCAGACAGCACATCTACACTCGTTCCAACTGATTCAGAAGTCCCTCCAGTACACCCTTTTGAATGTTTCTGTCCCAGATTCCTCACCGTTCTCATTGTGACTTGCTGCTCTGGTTGGGCTCTGCTGGCTACTGTCTGATTCCCCACTTATAAAATATTGTCTCTCCCTTTCTAAATGGATGCAATTTAATTTTTAATGTAACTTTGGGGCTTTGCACTTACCTTATTAAATTTCCTGTGGTGGGCTATGGAGTGTGGTGTGGCAACGTGCAAGAATGAAGGATCATGGGGAACAGATCTGACGGTTTATATTTTTCCGTCTGCTGCTTATGTTTACAAAGTGGGGTCTAGTGTTCAATACTAAGAAGGAAACATATTTGTTGACTATCATGTATTAAGTAAATGTTTGGCAATGATGACAATCTCAATCTTTTCTAGTCAGTATGGCATCTGTAGCTCAAGAAGGAACGCTACGATTCTCTCAGTTTGAGTGTAACCTCATCTGTCCCTTGTAAGCCCATTAAATAACTATCAAAATTACTACACACACACACACACACACACACACACACACACACACGGAAAGGAAAGTAGGCATTGATCTGGGGCTGGTGAGAGGGATTAGAAGGGAAAGTGCTTGCTGTGCACACCTGACAACCTTACATGTAAAGGTCAAAGGTGAACACTGACCTTTCGGCCTTCTCCCCTGCCCCTCACATGTGTGCTGTTGCATGCATGTTGCATGCACTCACTCATCACATAATATGTAATAATAATAATAATAATAATAATAATAATAATTTTAAAAGTTGATCTGAAAGAAGAAAAGAAAAAGCAATGGCTTGAATTTTATTCCTAAAATAAGGAAGAAAAATGTACTATTTGATCATGACTGCTTTCTAAATGAAAATGACCATTTACTTTTGAATGAATAGCTGTCTCTGCCAGTGGGAGACTTCATATCATGAAATTACCTAAAGTTTAGAATGAATGGTCAATGAAAGCCAAGAGCCAGTTCCCACATTTACATCAGGGCTTTCATCACACAACTGCTCCCAGAAGCACCCTGAATTACAAAACACTAGGGGTCATAGCAGTTACTGGCATCATTGCAAAGGTTTCTGTTGTGTTGTTTATTTATTTATTTATTTATTTATTTTACTTTTGAAATGGGGTCTTGCTATGTAGTAGCAAGCCAGCCAGGCTGGCTTACATCTTGCTGCCTCAGGCTCCCAAGCACCGGGATTCTAGGCATGTGTGTTCATGCCTGGCGACTGAATATCTCTTATTACTACGATGTTAAGAAGAAACACAACTTGTTTAAAGGAAAAAACTGACTCTGTCCTGAATGAGAAACAAAGGTCAAGAGAGGGAAAAAATTCTAACTAGGCTGCCTGAGCAGGCAAGGATACTCTTTTAATCTCAAAGATGGAATAGGGGAGTTGGCCAGTAGGATATAGATTCTCTAGCTTTTACAAATGCAAAGAGAAATGTAGGATGTGCATTAGATAACGGGGTTTACCATCAGTGACATTAATTTTTCATTGACACCCATGCTTACACAGCTCTGACAGAAACTTTACATATTACTAATAGAGTGTTGGTTGCTTCTTTTGCCAGTTAGCGAAGGATACACACTGCTTCTATGCACACTGTTTTGGTGGAGCTTGGCTGCATCACCCCTGTGAGCTTGCTGGGCAGGTAAAACATACTTCTACATTAGCTCTTTGAAAGTGGAGTAGGACACAACCTCTGCCAGCTATTTTTTCTTTTCCTTTCTTTTTTTTTTTCTCGTGAACCATTCTATTAATACCAATCAAATCGAGAAAATGATCAAATGAAATTGCATTTTGAGCATCGTAAGCTGTGTAATG